GTTCAGGGGTTCGGGTTTAGGGTTTACGGTTTAGGGTTTAGGGTTTAAGGTTTATTACAAGGGTCTTACGGTTCCTTTATAAGGGATGTCTGGGGTATCCTTTTGCGTCAGGGCCCAGTACCCAAATGGTAGGCCTAGGGGTATTGTCAGGAGCTTCGTGGATGTCCCAAACCGAGAGGGTCCGAGTACCCAAATAGTAAGGTTTTAGGTCCCAAAATCCATACTCTGAATGGTTTTTGGACCTTGAAACCCTAAACCCTAAACCCTAAACCCTAAACCCTACTATTTGGGCACTTGGACCCTTAGGGATAGGGCTCGAAAGATGGTGGGGTTTCACGCTTTCAGGGTTTCAAGGTTTCAGGGTTTAGGGTTTCAGGGTTTAGGGTTTTGGTTTTAAATAGGGGCCTTAAAAATTGCCTATGCTTTTTTTGCGAATTATAGTATATAGTATACCCCAAACCCTATTCTGATTATTAAAGCCTCTACATCAGGGTTTCAGGTGCCAGATACGTTACTCCGAGTGTTTGTTTTGGCAGCTAAACCCCCACTGTTTCGGTATTCGAACCCTATGATTTACACAACTGTACTACTGCAGGCTGTCTAAGGGTTTTCTGATGCCTTATACTAGCTACATATAGTTTCATCTGCTTTGGTCTATACTTGTTGTAAAACGTACTTGGTTGTGCTTAAGGTGCCCTTTACCCTTACCCTCAGAGGACTCATATTTTAAGGCTTTTGGGCCCAAAGACCCCCTTATCTAAGGCTTTTGGGCTATTTTGATCCTAAGGGTTAAAGTTTTGGCAGGGTTCTCTGTCATGGGCACCGGAGCAGTCAGCTCGAAAATCTGAAGAAAGTTTAACTTAGACCTATTCAGAGAACCCAACACCGCCTAATTCAGGAATATGCATTAAATTATGTAGGGGCCTTAAGATTATGATTTAAGGTATATTCCTAAGGGGTATTGGGTTCTGTGGGTGTTAGGGTGTAGGGCTTAGTCTTAGTGAGCCTTCTCAGCGCAGCGTTGAAGAGGAAGCGCACAATAGAACGCAATATGCAGTAGCCCTGATTACGTTATCCCAAAGGGTCCTAAGTACCAAACCCTACAAACCCTAATGGTAGAATGTGGGATGTCTATATTCGGAATCACCATTCAGATCGGGAAAGTCATCCGCGAAACGGTGCCTAGCAGCGTTGGGGTATCCGGAACCCTACACGATGAAACCCTAAGACCCCGAGAAACTCGCAGAAGCCTGAACCTTGAACCGCTCTAAACCTCAAGCTGAAAACTTTAGGGTTTAGGATTTAGGGTTTAAGGTTTAGGATTTGGGGTTTAGGGTTTAGGGTGTAGGGTTTGGGGTTTAGGGTTTGGGGTTTAAACCCGAACCCTCCCGCCCCTACCGTTCAAAAGTAGATTCGTCCCCAAGTCCTGCATTTGATTTTCTCGTAGGGTGCTCGGGTCATAGGCGCTTGAGACCTTCCCTCCATAACGATTATAGTCCCTACAAGATACGATCCTAAGCCTTACCCGAATTTAAGAGCCCTGATCCCCAAACCCGAAAAGCCTGAACCCATCTAATCCCCAGACATTACCCTATAAGCCCTAAACCCTAAACCCTAAACCTAAGCGCCTAAGCGCCATAGTCCTTAAACCCTAAAAGCCTAAACCCTAAACCCTAAAAGCCTAAACCCTAAACCCTAACAGCCTAAACCCGACACCCTAAAAGCCTAAACCCGACACTCTAAAAGCCTAAACCCGACACCCGAAAAGCCTAAACCCGACACCCGAAAAGCCTAAACCCGACACCCTAAACCCTAACAGCCTAAACCCGACACCCGAAAAGCCTAAACACGACACTCTAAAAGCCTAAACCCGACACCCTAAAAGCCTAAACCCATCTATATGGGTAGTTGTCAAAATTATGGTCCCTTTTTGGGGTACCCTAAATAATAGGTGCCGTATTATAATAAGGACCCCAAAAGGGACCATAATATTGACAACCACCTATATAAGCCCGAGCCGAACTCCCCGAGGCTCCAACATCCCTTAACTAAGGAATCTACCTTAAACCATATTAGGGATCCTACTATACTCTAAGGTATATTCCTTAATACACTTTAAGTCATATTAGGGATCGTACTATAATTTAAGGTAGATAAAACCCTAAACCCTAAACCCTAAACCCTAAACCTAATTAGAGGTATATTCCTTAATTAAGGGATGTTGGAGTCTCCGGGTCCCCGAGGCTCCAACACCATTCGCGCCTGCGGCCATGGGCCTCATCCTTCTGGGAGTAAGGCGGACTTTACTTAAAGGATCATGGGACTTAGTAACTGGGGTTTTGGGTTTAGGGTTTAGGGTATCCTTCCGGGAGTAAGGCGGACTTTAAAGGATCATGGGACTTAGTAACTAGGGTTTAGGGTTTAGCGTATCCTTCTGGGAGTAAGGCGGACTTTACCCATGGGCCCCATAGTAGTTCCTTTTTGTGGCTTACATTTAGGATTCTATTCCCCAAAAGGAACTACTATGGGGCCTATGGGTAGGGAGTAAGGCGGACTCTACTTAAAGGATCATGGGACTTAGGGTTTAGGGTTTAGGGTATTCTGCTGGGAGTAATACGGACTTTACCCAGAGGCTCCAAATAGACTACCATTATCGAATTGGGCCCCAAAAGACCATCCTTATTATGGTTTTGAGGGCCTAATTCCATAATGGTAGTGTATATTGAGCCCCTGGGTTCGGGAGTAAGGCGGTCTCTACTTCAAGGATCATGGGACTTAAGGTTTAGGTTTCAGGGTATTCTTCTGGGAGTAAGGCGCACTTTAGTTAAAGGAAGCTACAGGTGGGGAGTTTAGGGTATATAGGGCTTCTATACGGTTTCTTTAATAAGGTATACAGACCTTCTATAATGCTCCTATAACGGTAACTACCCACCTGAAAATGTCCTAAATTCATGGAGTAAAGCGCACTTTAGGGTTAGTGGTCGAGGGTTTGGGCTCTTGGTTTTCGAGACTTATGGATATGTATGTGTTCCTTCCATATTTGGGCTTACACTGGTCTAAGTCTATAATTAATCATGATAAGGCCCGACGAACAAGTAGGTTATAAGCCGCAGGTACAGAGACGTATGGAGAGAACCCAAACTCCAAAGCGGAAGCTCCATCTAATCACAGCCCCACATCCCTCCAGACTCCATTCCTAAACCCCTGAAGCCCTATAAACCCCAAACCCCTGAACCCTATAAACCCTGAACCCGAAGCCCCTGAAGCCCTATAAACCCTATAAACCCTAAACGAAAAAACCTGAAGCCCTATAAACCCTAGACTCACTCTACGCTACTGGGCTTTCTGGGGTTCTGGCGTGTCCCTCCCGCCGAAGGAGCCCGGCCAGTCCACACTGAACAGCGTCACTCTTCGTGGTCTTTGGATGTTTAGGGTTTAGGGTTCCCAACCCAAAAACCTTTATACTTAAAGGATCATGGGACTTAGTAACTAGGGTTTTAAATAAGTCAAGTATACTTATAGTTACTTATAACCCTAACCAAGGTACTTATAACCTTACTTACTAAGTCCCATGATCCTCTAAGTAGTGTTAGTATACTCTAATGGTAGATTATAATGCTTTACTACAGTCGTATATACAAAATTATATGCTGTAACAGCTTATTATAGTATAGCCGCAACGCTGGTGTACTGTACCAGAGTGTACAATCCTGTAGCATCTAGTCTTCTCTCTGACGCAACAGCGCACGGGTGCCGGTAATGCTTTGTGGTTTGCATGGAGTCTGTGTAGCTTGGCCTTTTCGAACGTGACACCTCGCATGCAACACGAACCCCTAAACCCTAAACCCTAAACCCTAAACCCTAAACCCTAAACCCAAACAGTTTTTGCTCAAGGCCTTCGGGCATTAGCTTTTCCAGGGATCCATGGAAGAGGCCGTGGAAGTGCGGCTGCACAGGGACGTGGAAAACTTCTTTGCCGAATGCTCCGAGCTGGTTGTAAGGGACCTCGCGCAGAGCCAGGTCCTACTGGGCCAAGTTACAAAACCCGGATCGGAGGTAGGATTTGGCCACGAAACAGTTTAATATCGGGGCCTAAATAATTACCAAAACTGTTTTGGCTTTCGGTGGTTCCTTATTATCGTTATAGTATCATATACCCCAAATTAAAAAAAAAAACATTTTAATTAAGTTGTTATGCCCTTTTCCCCGCACCCTGTGGCCGGCACCCGAAACCCGATAGTTAGACCCTAAACCCGAAACCCCTAAACCCTAAACCCCTAAACCCTAAACCCCTAAACCCTAAACCCTTAACCCGTAACCCTAAACCCTAGGTGATTAGACCTTATCCACAGCAGGTTTTGTCATCTCCCAGAGGCCTGCCGACGCAAAGCCCGGTGGAGAAGGCCCAGGTTCGCTCCCCCAATGTAGGGGCCTAAACCCTACCTTCAGAACCCCAAACCCACATTTTTGTAGGTTCTTATTATAAGCCCTAATCTGGGATTTATAGGGACCCCACAAAAAAGTAGGTTTTGGGTTCTGAAGGTGCTTGGAGGGTCGGAGGCTTAGTAAGTAGGTAATAAGTAGAGTTATAAGTGCCCTAAGTGGGATCCTAATTGGGGGTATGGTACTTATAACTCTACAAAAGCTTATTGGCTGTAAACTCAACTTT